CACTGGTGACACAGCAGTGACTAACTACAACATCCATGTTTTCATTCGATAATATCGATAGCAGTTAATACAATTCCCCCCCCCCCCCCCCCCAGCCACTGTCTTCCTTTTCCTCTTTCTTTCTACAAAATCCTTAGGCTAAATATCAGCATCGATGCCTTAGATTAAAGCGTATGGGACGAAAAGCTGCACATAATTTACAACAAAAGGAGAACAAAAAGAGGGGGGGTGTGTGTGTGGGGGGAGGGGGGGGGGGGTTATGTCACAAAAACATTGACACCTCATCGTGTTTTTAAAAAACATTTTGCACAATACAAAACAAGTGTGATTTTCTTTTTTAGTAGATCAATCTTGAACTGTTGAAATTAAGTCTATTAGTAAAATATAATTGTTTAGCTATTTCTTTAGCTTAAGTAGGCAATTTCATTTTATGTCAGTTGCCTTTTACACAATATTAAATCACAGAATAATAGATTTTGTGAAACAGCATCGCCTCTTATTTTAGTAACCAGCCAAAAGTTATCTCTACCTTTTTTTACTACATTTTTGGATTCTATATATACAGTCCTGACTGTTCTAGATCATTTAAAAAGCCACCTATTTTTTTTTTTTTTCCAAACTAGACAGTTTCACGATTTTCTTTTTGTTAAAGTTAAATCCTTTACTGTCCATCTCATCGGCTGTCTCACGACTCAGCTTCTTACCAGTACACCCTTAACCTTTCAACTTTCACCCTTCCCAACGCATGGCCATTGAGCCGTACTGAGAGTAACGAGAATACCTTTCAACTGTAACCAAAGAGGACAATCAAAGACAGTTTAATATACAGGTGTTTGGTCACGAATTCGTGTAGGTCTGATTACTTATAGAATTGCAGTCTTGGCTGGCTTGTGGTTAAAATTATGGGGCCGTTTCATTTGCGGTGCAATGACCAGGATACTGCCTATGTGACATGTTGTATGTGGTATGTTTCACACTCCTATAAAACTAGAGACTTGCAACAATGCTGTTCGGTACAAGTTTGAAACGTCTTATAAAGCGCAATAGGTGAGCTGTATTTATTTATGTGAGTGTACAAAGTGTGTGTGTATATATATATATATGCATATATATATGTAACGCTGATGATGACAGCTAGGGTCTGTAGTATAAGTAGTAATAAATATTGTAGTTATGGTATTAAAACAGCATTCACAGCTTTAAAAAAAAAATATAAACAGTGCACGTACACACCACAACTTGTCTATTACGATAGCGGCTTAAAAATATGATAAATTAATTTTTTTTTTATTGTCGGTATTATATACCGTTGAGTAAGGACAAAATAAACCCCAGGTAGTAGCAGTTGTTGATGCTGTAGTTGTTATTGTTCTAGTTGTTATTAATACTCCAAACAGCAGCAGCAGGAGCAGTTATACTTTTCTTTCTTTAGTTTTAGTAGTTCTTATTATGTTCTGCTTCTTTTTTTTCAGGTACCTCAGCGTAAATTTCGTAGTTGTTATTATTTTCTATATCTCGTTTTCCAGTTACACTAGCGTCGCATTTTTTGCTGTTCCTATGTTCGGCTATCCTCCGAAAAACGATCCCAAATTATCGAGGCCAAAAATATACCCTAAAAGGGCCTCAGTCACATGTCAGTTGCGAACTTCCGGCGTCTACCACCACCGCTGAGGCTATCACCGTTAAGCGGTGGCGGTAGTCGCCGGAAGTGCGCAAATTAAGTCGCCTGAAGTCCGAAATTGACATTTGAATAAGGCCCTGTTAGGGTATATGTTGTAAGGACCTTTGCAACATTTGGGGATACAGTACAGAAAAAGAAAAATAACCTTTACTTTCGTCACAATTACATATTCTCGAACAACCTATGTAAGTACCACCTTTACACTTACGACCACAAATTAAACAATAATAGTAATAATATAAAAATAAAATTTAACACACAACCACAAATTAACTGCATCGGTAGGGTCAAAAGTTCCCGGAACAGAATACACTTGATTTTTGTTTTCCACATGTATTTAAACTACATGTGTCCGTTGTATGTACAATTTTTATTATATATATATATATATTAGGGCTGTACCAAATAGTGATTTTCACTATTCAGCCGAATACGAATAGCTGGACTAACTATTCGGCCGAATACGAATAGTGAATCATCATCATCAGGTGCTTTGCCGACTGGCATGGGCGATTATGCCCTGCCATAATCTGCGATCTCCTGCAGCATGTATTAGTTCGTGTGCTGACACACATCCATGCCATGCAACAAGACTGTCACGAATCTTCTCTCGTTGTCTTCCTCTATCCCTCCTTGCCACATATCTTTCCATTGGTCACCAAATGTTTCCATTTTCCCTCTTCTTATAACATGGCCGAAAAAAAGGATGACTGTCTCCTTCTGATATCTGCGAGTAGGTGTCTTCGGGCTCATGCCTCTTTTAAAACCTCTTGGTTGCTTTTTCTGGCTGTCCAAGGTATTTTAAGCATTGTTCTGTAAAACCACATCTATGAGGCCTCAAGAAATTGTTTGGCCTGCCTACCGATTGTCCAGGACTCACAGCCATATGTTAAAACTGGATGTATGTAGCAAGCAAGAAAGCATTAGCTTTCAAAAAAAAAAAAAAAAAAAACCACAATCGTTCCATTTTGTCAGCATTAAGGCAGCTTCTTGTCTCAATGAAGGTATTTCCAGCTGTGCTAAACAGACGTTCACTTGGTACGCTCGTAGGTGGTGCACAAAGTAACCCTTGACAGTATGAACCAAGGTGGGAAATCTTGATATGTTCATTTTCCACCAGTCCAGAAACGGGTGTAAGGTAACCACTATTCGTATTCGACCCGACCGCAACTATTCGGCCGAATACCGAATAGTTATTAGGTCCACTATTCGGCTCGGAAGCGAATATTCGGTATAGCCCTAATATATATATATATATATTTGAGATAGCCAGTTCGACTTTCGACTTAGTCGTAACGAAAGTTGGTCGCAAATCCATGAGTCACTGAATTGTGTTTGAAAAACTCATAGGGGGCGACAACCAATAGTCTAAAATTACTGTCGGGCGCTATAGCATTACTTTATCTGTTAGTGACATAGCAAACTAAGCTTAGTATATTTCATACATTTAAGTAATCAGTTAGTGCAGCCATCTGGTGTTGATGCTTTCTTCTCTCCAGTAGATAATCTATGTTATATGATGCTGCGACCAACCTCATAGAACCTTCATTGTGTGGGTTCCGGTCCCCGTTTTTGTGGTTTTGGGGCGGGTGTGCAGGGTTTTAGAATAGAGCCACTGTCACCTTTAAAAAGAATGTAGTAAAAATCGACTAACCTTTTATGGTCAAAATAATTACTGTGTAACTGGTAAGCAACAATCATTCAACCATCCATTGATCCTTTCAGAACCTTCTGTCAGGGCGCCAGAACGCGGGAAAGGGAGAGGAGGGAAGGAGCCTTGAGGCCCCGCCACCCCAACCCCACCCTTCCACCACTCTCTAATAATATTTAGGCGGACTAAACACCATCCCCTAGAAAATTTGCAAGAGGGTTGAGACGCCCCCTAACCTTGTACAAACGTCCTCTGGTGAAATATTTGTTTGTACATTTCATATTATTTAAGAAGCATTATTACATTTATTTGTCATTAGCACATATGCCAAATACAAGTATTATTACTCGTGCTGCTAATGATGATGATAACAATAATAAGAATATCATTATTGCACACTTAAACATGGTTACCAATTCATTGACCCCCTCCCTAGACCTTATACAATTAAAAGGGGTTGATGAACCCTCACCCATCCACATTTTTTTCGTTATGGAGAAGCTAATGTCTTAGCTGTACCATTATGTGACATCAGCTGTGAGCTATTGATTTTATTTTATTGTTGTTTTGGCGTGCCCTGACGATTTTACCCAGGACAGTGACCCTACAACCACAAATGGGATTATAACCTATTTTCTGGGGTGTTAAGTCTTTCACAGCTATTTATTATTCTTCTTGTTCTTTCTGCTCACATTCTGGGTAGCATCCACCTTTTCATCCTGACCTTCTTTGTTCTTCTTTTTCTGGTGGTTGGCAGTCTGCCCCAACAGATTCATTTTCTGCAAGTCTCTAAGAAGTCACCTTCTATGAAATTCTTAGTAGAGGACAATGGGTGTATTCTCGACCCCATCATCCTTTGCCTCCACTCCCTCACCTCCGCCAAGTAAGACCCCTATCATTCTCACATCCTCTGTTTTTCTCCCTCGCTCACTTAATCCCTCCAATATCGACATTTCCCATTTTTAAATTACTTTATTCGGGGTTGGGGGTCCAGAGGCACACTGCTCCGATTGGATTTAGTTTGATCCTCATTCTGACATTTTTACACAAAGGGTATTAGCGTCTGTAGGTATTATGAAAAGCCCATCTCATTGTCAAGAATAATCACATAAGCCATAATATTTCCTGCCTCAATAGTGCTACTGTCATGCTTAGCTTAACACAGATTAAAACTGACAACGGCAAGATTATAATACTTAGCTATAGCAATATAAAATAGGTTAGTTTCGTATCCTTTACAGTTAGTTTCGGAACCTACCCTAACAGCCCCTGGCTGTTGTGTGGTTTTTCTAATCAAATTTACGCCCAGTAGTTTGCCATACAATATAAAATACATAAAAAAAAAAAAAAAAATACGGACACAAACAATACATTGCGCAATTTATTGTCAAGCATATTTCGCTGTATCTCGTCAGGTGCGTTACCACAGAGTTACATCAGTATACAAGAAAGCACAAAACTGAATAAATCTAAATCAATTGCGAATAGTTTCTTGCTACACATCGTGAGGTAATTAAGCCGCCGGAAGCTCGCTATAGTCACGTGACTTACCAGTGTAGCTTAAAATTTACTTTAAATTCCGTCTGCTTACAAAGGAGGGTGTGTTGATTTTTTGAGATAATACATTTGTTAAATCGATTTTTGCATACTTGGTATTTTTAGCTGACAATGGAGAACGATCGTGTCTGCAAAGAGAACGGCGAGTATGATGATCTGGAACTGTATGCAGGGGAGTCTCTACCGTTGGAAGATTTACTCTGGGAGAAGGTCAGCCTGCTACAGAGTCAAGTAAGTCTCATGACAACCAAGTTAGTTTTTCAAAGATCCCCCCCCCCCCTTTTATAAACAGTACCAGCACTCATCATAAAGAGACAAGCCTTAGTGTAGCGGCTAGACGCCTGCCTGCGGATCAGAAGAACGTGGGTTCGAATCCGAACGGAGCTGGACTGTTTTCAAAAAATTTTTGCTACCAGATCTATTCAATTTTTGGTGGGTTCCAGGTAGTCTTTGGAAGTAAAGACAGTCGACTTTATGCTCTCCGCATCACTCACTGAGATCTGATTAGTCATGAAATATAGGTCTAACCCCTATATACCAAATACGTCTAAAGGCATCTAAACGGGTCCTTTACTTCCCATTAAAGATAAGTGTCGGCTCTGTGGCTAAGTCGATGCGAACGCTTCGCTTCATAATGCCGGAATGCCAGGTTCGATCCCAGCTGCGGGCGATGCGCCTTGCGTTGGTTTCGACAGTGGTATCAGAAAGCTGAAAACTACTGGATGTAAATTGCCTAGAGAAACCACACAACAGCCAGGGGCTGAGGGTTGGTTCTGCAACGTCCTGTAAAGGATACGCAACTAACTTTTTTAAAAGGTAAGTGCCTGTACTCAGCACACAGTGTCCTTTTACAGCAGTGCTGAAAAGGAAATGCCTCAAAACGGGTGCCGGTTATGAGAATGTTGGTACTGCCAGACAAACGCTGGTATCTTTTGCATGTGTCTTCTAGTGTCTGTCTCTCTGTCAAATTCCTATGTGTAATAATACCTTTTGTCGGCTCTGTGGCTAAGTCGATTCGAACGCTTCGTAATGCCGGGGTACCGGGTTTGATCCCAGCTGCGGCCCACGCGTCTTGCGTTGGTTTCGACATTGGTATCAAGAAAGCCGACCGTCCAGTAGCAATGACAAACTACTGGACGTAAATTTGCCTAGAAAATCCACACAACAGCCAGGGGCTGCTGGGGTTGGTTCTGCAACGTCCTGTAAAGGATACGCAACTAACATTAACAATAATACCTTTGCTTAAAAGAAATAAATGAAATGCCTGCACAACCGCTGAAATAAACTTTTATGAGACTTAGATTATTGCGATATAGAGTATGGCAATACATTGGGCACACTCCCAACAGAAACAACGAATGAATTAAACAGCACTGGCATTAGCAATAGGTAGCTTGAGGAAACGAGGACGTTTATAAGACACTTTGAGACAAACACTCATAAAAAAGGACAAAGAAGCTTTACTGGATGGCATCCTTGATATGGAAAGAAATTGCACAAGATGGGACGTAGCGGATGGATTAAACTGGATCAAACGTGACGTATAAACAACTGGACTGGATGATTATGATGATGATGTTGTTGATGATGATGTTGTTGATGATGATGTTGATGTTGATGATGATGATGATGTTGATGATGATGATGTTGATTAATATGGTGATGATGATTTTGATGATAATGTTAGTGATGATGTTGATGAAAATGAAAATGATGTTGATGATGATGATGTTGGTGATGTCGATGTTGTTGATGATAATATTAATGATGCTGATGCTGATTATTATTACCAGTAGGGGAAGGGGCATGCACAATAGTAGTTACACGTTTGTCTGTTAGTCTGAAGATCCTTTGAGTTCAATCCGCATTAGGATGTGGATATTTGACCTCTGACCACTACATGACGATCCATCCCAGCTGAAAATAAGCATCACAAAATGTCTAGCGAAGGAAATATGATGGCGGGCGTGAAGTATACAACATGACACTTCAGGTTATCATTAATCTGTAACTATGTGGATTCTAACAAGATATACGCAAAGTGTCAGTGGATGGAAAAACCTCCTTTAACTATTTAGAACCGTTGAGGAGCAAAGGAACGACAATGGCTAGAACACTTGTCTGCTGCCTGCTTGTTTTGGGTTCGAAGAGGAATGGGTAAATATGTCAGGTTTTTTTCACGCTTTCACGTTTGTTGTGCATGCAGTGCTAGTTTTATATTTTATAGGCCAATCAGTACTCGTTAGTGATGTGAGCAAAATCGCACAGGACGCTTTTTTCTCCCCAGGTCTTTACACGGTAGAGAGTGTAAGAAAGCCCGTGTTCTGTGGAAAAGTACTGGAAAGTAAACGAGTTAGGGGCGGTATTACCACATTACGCATTGGGTGTACGAATAAAGCATGATGTTCACACATCTCCCGTTGAGTGTACGATTAAGCATGATGTTAACACATCTCCCATCGAATGTATGAGTTCAGCTTGTTGTTAACACATCTCCCATCCAGTGCACGAGTTAAGCATGATGTTTTTACATCGCCCACTGCGTGTGCGATTTAAGCGTGATGTGAACACAACTCCCATTGAGTGTTGGACTACTATAAATACAAATTATATTCGGCTAACATCAACGCTATGTATAGAAGCTCACTCTCCTACGAAATACGCTTACCCAAATGATAGGGAGCTGAAACCAAGAAGGAAACACCTGGAAGGAAAAGGCAAGAAGTACACAGTTAACAACAGGGTAGAGAACGAACGGTCTGAAGAATGAAGGAAGCATTAAGCCAGAGACAGCGCAAATACTAAATCTTTAGTTACGAAAGAGACGCAAATAACCCAGACCACAAATATAGACGGAGACTTTTAGCAGCCTCGGCTAGCTAGCAGCAGTCTGAAAGTAGTCGAACTTTAAATTTTTTCCTTAAAAGGAATCGGAATCGAATCGGCTAACACCAACTGGCCTGTTCAAATAGGAACAAAAAAGTATATGCCCATTTTACAGACCAAGTTACAGTAAACAAAGGACGTTGTATCCATCATCCTTCAATAGTAGAACAACGACCGGAAAGAGGACAGGGGTGTGGAGACAAGATAACTTGAAAATAAAATTTAGCCTTTCCTAGCTATATCGCAGTTGCGCATCTACGACGAGAAAAAAAGATCGCGTATTTTGGCAGTAACGGCCAACTGTCATGGGCAATATTCAATATTATTTTTACAGTTCAACGATTTATACTGCATTACTTGTGAACGAAATTTAAATCAACATTACGACAAACACACATACGCACACACACCCACACACACACACATACACACATATACGCACATACACCCACTTGCACACCATTACACACACACGCACACCATTACACACAAACGTACTCTACTTGTTACATGGGAGTCCGACAGGAAATGTGAAGAACATGTTTGTTTTTTTTTTCTCTAAGCAACGATAATAACAGTAATTGAACACATATCTGCTGCAATCAACCTTCATTGCTTGCACATTGGACTTATGGCTTTGGATTGGTCCCTTTACTGGCGTGATCTTGTTCAATATTTAACCTTGGTTTTCAGGTCAACCCAGTCTACAGTGGGTAAAAGGATATCTGCCGGCAAATAAAGATGGCCAGCGTGATGTTTTAAAAGTCACCCATCACGTGTCAAAACATGAGTATTGAGTCATATGCCCGGTGAAGCAGTGTCGAAGCCAACCAAGGGCCCTGATTTTTATGTATTAAATCTTCAATGATTTACCAACAAACTGGTTTTTACACGTTTAACATGTTTATGTCACGCAGAACCAAGACATCGCATTTTTCTTGGCTGATCTAGGGGAAATCTACAGCAAGCTTGAAGACTGGAGGAGACTCCTCCCACGTGTTGAACCTTTCTTTGGTTAGTCTGTGTATGTGTGTTGTCTTTGATAACACTGTGCACAATCTTGTCCACTAACTTGAAAGAAATCAGCAAATATGCATATGTAATGAGGAGTGGGAAGGGGGTGCGGGGGGGGGGGGACTTAGAGGTACCTGGATAAACAACAGCAAGCGCACGGCCACGAAGAAATCAAACCCCTACCCCCACCCTCCCCCTAGTAATTTTTTTTAAAGCGAGGAAGTGTATTGGCCCTAAAGCCTTTGTTTAAGTGCGCAGATTAGACACACCCACACTTCGACATTGGACTTGTTTCATTATGAACCGTTTTGTAGCGCTGATTGATTGATGCGTACACCCCACTAGAACATCTCACCAAGTCATAAACACCCGGGGACATAAAGTGCCACCATACGGATGAGGCACACCCGTGAAGAGGTACCAAAAATCCCGTCCAACCAGTTGGGTTATTTTAGGGGCCCTGACGAGAGACACGGTGGAGGTTTTAAAATGACGAAACAATTGCTATCCACATGGGAACGGAGAGATTTAGTAGTTGTAATGCTGTAAGAAAACCTAATATAAATGTAATATAACCACACTATTCTTACCAACGCTCTGCTATCAATGTCAAACATGGACACTGCCTTCAGAAGACAGAAAGAAAAGTGTCACATACTATGCTAGAGGTAACGAGAAAAGATCGACTTAGGAACGATGATATCAGAAGAAGAGTTGGCACAGAACCATTACTGAACTTTAAAGGCAGACAACAAATCAAATTGTTTGGCCATGTAACAAGACTGGCAGCAGACGGCACCACAGACAGTAATGTTATGCAGGTACAGTAGTAACAGACCCAGAGGTCGACCACGCAGAACATGGACCTTAGAAATATCATAGACACTGAAAAGTACTATATACGAAGCAAACAAAAGGTCCCTTTCTAGAGATCTCCCCCTCTCTGACGCAGCCAGGCATTCCAGGAGTAGTGAAAAGAAGAAGAAGAAGAAGAAGAAGATAAAATAGTATTACTTTGCTGTATGGCTATGCGCTTGAACAGGCGTTTCGTGGTTTTTTTCCTGTTTGATTCTAATCGTCGAAATATTTACCATACTGACTGCATTCATGGATTGAAAACCTTAACAAGAGTGCGGAATAATAATAATAATAATGGTTATTATTTTCTGATCACTAATCAAAGAATGTGAAAAAAAAAATTGTGAAATAATATGACCCACATAAACAATGAAAATGGAACGTTTATACATATTTATGTAAGATGGCATTTGGGCGCATTGCTGCCCGGCTCGCTAGCGTAGTTGGCTAAACCGGATTGCGCGGTGACTGGGTGACGAACTCCTTGTGGTCCGGGTTCACGCCCGGGGGTAGGCAGAAAAGCCTCATTTCTCCCAGATTTACTGTATTATCATGGAATCAAGGCCGAAGGGTTGCGATATCCATAATACCGAGCCTAAGGGTTAACAACTCATGGCTTCTGGATACTTTTAAAAAAAGGCGCCTTGCTCATTTTCTAGAGTGGATCATCATCAGTTTTTAAGAGACAAAAATATCGTTACTTTCAACCTGCAGCCCCAAACGGGGAGCTTTAGGTTATAATTGTGCCACATAAAAAAGGCTTAGCATTGCACGATACCGAGAGCCATGAACAGACTCCTGCAGTGTTGATGCGACTAAAGGAGACAGACCCAACTACTGCCACAACCGACGATGAAATCGTCTACCGGCGATCCAGTGGGCGACCCGGTCGCTGATCTATAGAGGAGTCCACAGCAGGTCTAAACTTGTTGTTGGGTGATAGGGTTTTCAACAGTCTTTTTTTTTTTCCTTGATGTATAACCGCAGGGAAAAACAACCTGCGTTTGAGATACACTGCACTAAAAATGCATCATGAAGAGGGTGTTTTACTTCCGAGATTAATTCCTGTGTGTTTTACTGAACTGTATAGTAAAATCACAAACAGCCGAAAAATATTCGACCTGCTTATAATGTACTTTAAAATAGATGCGACAGCTATTTTAAGTGCATTTTTCTTGTGGAGTTACTGCCCTCTATCTCTCTGTCTCTCTCTCTCTCTCCCTCTCTCTCTTTCTCCCTATGTGTATGTGTGTATTCTGTACATGGCATTTGCATTGAGTATTTTGCGAATTACACACATAAAACAAGTCATGGACAGCAGTGCTTTTTAGATGTATAAATGTTGGGAGGGACAACCTGCGTTTGAGATCCATTGCACTAAAAATGCTTTACGGAGAGAGTGTTTTACTGCTAAGACTGATTCCGGAATTTTTTTTTTTTTACTGAATTGCCTAGTGAAATCACAAACAGTCAAACGATTATGGTACTGGCTTGTGATGCACTTTAAAGTAGATACAACACCAATTTCAAGTGAATTATTCCTTTTTGAGTTACTGCCCACTATCTCTCTGTCTTTTTCTATTCCTAATCTCTGTGTCTCTGTTAGCAAAACACATATATCTATCGTCTTTTTCAGGATGAATTTTTTTGTTATTTGAAGCTCCACCCTGGCTTTTGCCAGGCGGCCATAAATATGGCCAATTGTCTGAACGCGGTTTCTGGGACCTCTATACGGCGATCCTCATCCACATGGTGGCACTTTCTGTCATCGGCTGCTTATCGCTTGTGTGATGTCCTAGTGGGGTAGAAAGTCGGTCAGTCAGTCAGTCTCTGTTAGTTGTGTCTCCTTTACAGGACGTTGCAGAACCAGCCCCAACAGCCTCTAGCTGTTGTGTGTTTATTTAGGGGCAAATTTACGTCCAGTAAATTGCCATTGCCACCTGGACGGTCGGCTTTCTTGATACCACTGTCGAAACCATCGCAAGGACCATGGCCCGCAGCTGGGATCAAACCCGGCATCCCGTCATTACGAAGCGCTCTCATCGAGTTAGCCACAGAGCCGACTGTCTCTCTGTATATGTGTGTATTCTGTACTTGGCATTAGCACTGAGTACTTTGCGAATTAATTATATAAAACAAGTCATGGAAAAATAATCTACTTATGACGAATACCAGCCATTGTGTATAGTCATTTCTAGATCATGACCCACGTTCAGTTTTAATTTCAGTTTACGCCTGAATTCAAAACACCTTATTCAGCCTTCGTCAATTTAATTCCTGGTGATAAGGATTATGGTTTTTAATAATAGACAGAGAAGTATATAAATGAATATTATAAAAAAATTTAATTTTCTGAGTTTGTTAGCTCTAATCTCGTAATATATATATATATATATATATGAATGTATATATATATATATATATATATATATATATATATATATATAATATATATATATATATATATATATATAATATATATATATATATATATATATATATATATATATTTTAAATATAAACACACGAGACCTTCATATAGTCACACAGGCACACACATACAGAAACGCACACATACACACACACATGCATGCATATAAGCACGCACAGAGCTATGTACACAAACAAGCACACACACACACACACACACACACAAAGAAGCACCCACATACATGCATGACTACAGTCGGTAGATAGAGAGGTAGATACAATGGAACACATACAACCGAATTATTCCATTACGTATTCCTGTTCCAGCGGTCAAATGCAACTCTCAGCCAGTCGTCACAAGGTTTCTCGCAGATGCTGGAGTTGGTTTTGACTGTGCTAGCAAAGTAAGTGATCCTCAAGTGAAACTGTCCCTTCGTGGCCAGCGACGATATTGCAGCCTAGCTGCAAACCACAAAATTCCAACCACCCACTAAAGGTCAAACGCGGAAGAAGAAAAAGGAAAATTGCTGTTTCTTTCAGGAGCTGCAGGCCGAAACGTTTAGAACGAGGGGCTCTTTTGCTGGTGTCCGAGGTTCGAATCCTGCGTAAGGTTAAGGAATTTTTTTTCTGTCTGGGGCAAAAAATAAAATCCTAACCTGCACAGTCTGTGGCGACGGTATTAGACATGCAACCCTCAATCCTCAGGCTCATAGACACCCTTCCATTTTTTCTCCTCTGCCGCCACCATTTCTCCCTTTTCCCTTTACACTGCGAAAGTTGTACATACGGACAATAAAGGCAGTAGAAAGTATTGTTTCGGTGTAGGTTTATTTTGTCTGCGAGCTCACTAGATACTCTCAAAGAGGAAAAATCAGACCGGAGGCAATAGTTTTCCGTTGTAAATTTAACTTTTGCAGCCTAATCTGAGTGCTATATTAACCCGCTATATTACAAGACGTTATCAAACAGACTTTAATTAACTCACATCTTGTTTGGATGTGAAGCAGCTAAAATACTTATCATTTCATAAAGCAGGATTTAGAAAAATCATGGAATCAATTTAATTACCAAGTAGACCGCAGCGTCACAATATAAATATGTATGACGTACGTAAGTAAAGCCTACCAAACACATGTAAGTTATTTGGCATTCCTCCATGTAGATTTTGGAGCTCGATTTAGCAAGAGATAAAAAGAGAAAAAAAAATCCACTGACCTTCAACTTCAAAATTGTAAAAGGCAGTTAACTATGGGCTTGCTGAAATCGAGTTCTTTGGACAGTGAAGATATCGCAGCCTGGCTGGAAACCAACACTTTTTTCGGTTTACATCCATCAAATGGCGACTGATGTTTAAGATTATAGGTCTAGCACAATATGACTAATGTACCATTAGCGAGAATAGTATCCTAAATGTACGTCAGTGAATTTCTCAATGCTTTTCTACACACATCATGTACTTCACAGATGGAAATAGAACAGATCTTGAATCTAGGAGTCCACCCGTCACGCATTGTCTACGCCAACCCATTTAAACAGAGCAGCTACCTGACTTATGCAGCTCGCCATAATGTCGATCTGATGGCCTTCGATGATATTCATGAATTAATCAAGATCAATGAATATTTCCCTTGTGCTCGGTAAATGAAGATTCTATTTCTGTTTAGTTTATTTTTCATATGTTACAAAATTCAACTTTATATTGCTTGTTTAGCGCTTTTCTTCAGATTCCTTACTCTTGTATTTTCAAATGTAATAATATAGTCTGTTGTCTGTAACAACGGGGAGCTGTGTGGTGTAGCGGTTAGATGCTTGCCTGTGGATCCGATGATAGTCAGTGTAAATCCGCATGGAGCAGAATTTTGTTTTTTCACATACGTGAACTTAGTTGCTAGGACAACTTAATGGATAATGAGTAAAGTCCTAGGAAGTAAACGCGGTCGGCGTGATGTTAACCATATCGTCCATCGTCCATTGCTCTATAAAAATATGCGACCTGTCTCATATGCCCTATGCGCCACTGGCATGTGAAGGGACCTTTACTTTACTGTAGCAACACTACAGCAGTTTCTCTTTGGAAGCGACTGAAATGTGTTAGGCGATTTTACCATGCATCTTCTGCAGCCAACAGATAATGTTGCATTGAATCTTCTCTAGTCACATGAGCCAGGCCACAGTGCAACGACAACTGTTGAATATACAAAGTTTATTTACTAGCACTCATTAAAAAAAAAAAAAAAAAAGAAGAAGCTCAAACAAATACATACTGGGCAACATAAAGATTTAGTAAAGTAAAAAAAAAAACCTTTTCCACGCCTTTAGGCGTATAGGGCATATAGTTCTAGACCTATATTTTATATACCAAATGGCACAAGATGAGTGATGTTGTCAGCATCAGGCCAACCTCCTTTACTTCATGGGACTGCACCCTGGGTCGACCTGGGGGCCAAGGTCATTTTTGAAATAAGCCCGGCTCCGCCAGGGAGCGAAACCAGGACCTTTCGATCCGTGGCGAGCGTCTAGCCGCTCCGCGACGGCGACTCCCACATTAAGTTTTGACAGATTTAATTATCACACCTCAATACGAACATGTCACTGCAGCTGGAGTTGGCTGATTGTGCAAATTCTGAATTTATTGGTACATCTGTATTCCCACCATGAGCTTGTTACTAGGCTTCATGAATAGTTTGACAACCATAGCAATCAATGTCATATGTTTAAGTATTGGGGACACAAACAATACATTGCACAATTTATTGGAAGGCATATTTCGCATTATCTCGTTAGGTGCGTTACTAGAGAGTTACATTAACAATGGAATAAATCTATCTGAAATGCGAAGTTTTTTTGTCGATACATCATGTTTGTTTAGTCGCCGAAAGTTCACTATAGTCACGTGACTCACCAGGGTAAATGCAATTTTTGTTATTTTAATTAGTGGCATGTTAAGTGTGTGGTAAACCACACGGAAGCCGCTGTCCTTGTCAATTACGTTCCCGGAATGAAGCATGTCATGTGTATAAACGTTTTTTTTTCTGAGTATGTGCAGTTGAGTTAAACAAAAAATCCCGGGTATAATCTAAGTATGACTATTTAAGCCTACAACATCAAGAGTAGGGCAACGGCTAGACGCTTGCCAGTCCAGGTGAAGTCTTTGGCTTTGTACTGATCGTTCTCCGTGTGGGTTCCTGGGCTCCACTGTGAAGAGAACAAGAATAGACCGACTGCCTCTCCAACAAGCATGTCTTTAGAGTAGATTGATTGGAGGCTTCCTTCGAAGTGAGAATGCAAGGAACTAACAGTCTGCATACAGATATGTCCGATCTGTAATACGGATGTCCACGCAACACTCAGGTTTTGGAACAAGTCTAAAGTCGAGAGGTTGTTGAACAACAAGAACTTTCCGCTGGAGTTAATAGCTGATAAGCGCGAAGAAAAAGAAGAAGAAGAAGAAAAAGAAGAAGAAAAAGAAGAAGAAAAAGAAGAAGAAGAAGAAGAAGAAGAAGAAGAAGAAGAAGAAGAAGAAGAAGAAGAAGAAGAAGAAGAAGAAGAAGAAGAAGAAGAAGAAGAAGAAGAAGAAAGAAGAAGAAGAAGAAGAAGAAGAAGAAGAAGAAAGAAGAAGCAGAAGAAGAAGAAGAAGAAAGAAGAAGAAGAAGAAGAAGAAAAAGAAGAAAAAGAAGAAGAAGAAGACATCGTTATCTGTCGCAAAAAGGGACACAACTTTGTAAAATATTTTAGCTATACCCCAGGTGAAGTTCAGGTTACTTCGTTAATTGTCATTGGAGGCCCTATTATAACCTTACAGTTGAACGGGATTTCTGGAACTTACACCTGGGGGATTCTTATCCGAATGATGGCATTTTGTATCATCGGGTGTTAATCGCTAGTTAAGCGGTTGTAATGTGGTAAAACGTCAGTCAGTCGACACAGCCTAAAATGGGTTCAAGAAAATGTTCTGAAATCGTCCTACAATATCCAGTTTCGTCCTTTTTAGGACAGCATTTTTTGTTATTTGAAGCCCCACCATGGCTTTTGCCAGGTGCCGCAATATAGGCAGGCCATAAATATGGCCAATTGTCTGAACGTGGTTTCTGGGACCTCTTCACGGCGATCCTCATCCACATGGTGGCACTTTGTGTCATCGGGTGTTTATCGCTTGTGTGATGTCCTAGTGGAGTAGAAAGTCAGTCAGTCAGTCATGTTCTGAAATTAGTGGCGACCGGCGGGATTTTGAATCTGCAGCCGAAAACCTAATATTATGATAGGACAGACCTGGACCTTAGCATTGACTGTCAGCTGCTCTAGGAGGGAAGCCTCCGATAGCGGATAGACAGAGCACTGCTCTTCTGCCCCGCTAGCTTCTGTAGCATAATTCATTCCGAGCGTAAAAGTGCTTTATTTCAGTTGGAGTACACACTGCAGCGTGAGAAAAAAAAAATGAGGTGGCATAGGCAACACACGATGTCTACAATACTGACTAGGCTATGTGCAAAGAATAGCAGGGGCTTCGCTTCTAGCGTTACGGAAATTTAATCAGGTAATGGCAGTTCAAACTTAATAACAAACGGGTCATCTAATAGTCGCTGCTTTCCTGTGCCAGTGAAAACCAGAGTGTACATCACTCTCCCTTGTGGTGAAAAGCCTAGACACATACTGTTCATTGCAGTTTTTTTTTCAAATCCAACAGCATACACGCGCATTAAATGATTAACGCGGCAGTCAAATGTGCCAGCACAAACAGTCCGACACGATAAATGTCGTTCCTCTTCTATGGAAACCGCAGTTAAAACAGATCAGTGCCGATTTGTGCGTCAGCATCTTCTGTCGAATACTACTGGCGGGAAACGTGTCCTTTCTTATTTGCTGTAAAGAATTTCAGTAGCATCCATTTTCTCTCGTCTAAATGCGGAATTTCTTTTGCTCTGGCAGACTGATCCTTCGTATGGCAACCAGAGGTGAGGTTAAAGTTCTACACAAGTTCAACAACAAATTTGGTTGCCCCCTGAAACAGTGTGGAATGTTGCTGACTCAGGCCTTAGATATGAAAATGAACGTGGTCGGCGTAAGGTAATACGATATAATATAAGTGGACATAAGCTTGGGATAATTAATTATGTTTTAGTAGCTTCAGTCATCACTGGTGGAGGCGTTGTGGCATGTTTGGTCTCCAACTGTATCTGTTTCTGATGACAACTCTCTTGTCATTAGTTTATCATCATTATCCTCTTGTGCCATTATGTGTCACATAGGGCTAGCAGTCTATTCCATCCTTCCATTCTATCCTTCGCAATCAGTTTCAATATCATGGATAGAACCCAGTGCAGCAGCACAACTTTGGCCAATTGTCTTCGACTACTGAAGTTATATTCGATCGCATTTGTGTTAATGTATAAACTGTGAATATGGAGTGTCCTATCACATATTGTAATGTTAACAATCTATTGAGAAACACATTTCAACTGACATCACTGATATATCTCTTTTCGTCTTCAGTTTCCATATTGGAGGTCAGCCTGAGCAGGTAGACTGCTTCAGTACTGCCATAGAGGACGCACACCAGGTATTCAAGATCGGACTGGCTCTCGGTTTTCAGATGCATATCTTAGACATTGGGGGAGGATTTCCTGGTAGAGATATGGGCAACATTTCCTTTGCAAAGGTATCTTTAAAGTTTTAAGTTGATGAGACCAGTTTTGCTGTATGATTATTGTATTTACATGCTTAGATACTCCTGAAAGTGCTTTAAAAACAAAAGAGTAAATATCGTGATGCTATTTTTTTTCCACCATGGCTCTCTCATCTCAGTAGTCAGAGTCATTCGTTCCCTTGTCAGCTTTCCGGCCTAAAGAACTTTTCCGCGTCAAGAACTTTCCCGCATCAAGAACGTTACCGCCTCAAGAACTTTCCCGCCTCTAGAACTTTGTCGCCTCAAGAACTTTCCCGCCTTAAGAACTTTCGTACCCAGGATGATGTTGATGCTCTTTGTCCACAGTTGTGCTGCGCGATCCCACTTACTTTTTTTTCCAAGAACTATACACTCCAGTATTGATCTTTCCAAAACATTACACCCCTTTATATAGCCCTAATAGTCAAGCCTCCGAAAGAAAAAGGTAACACAAACACACAAATTATTTACAACTGGAGAATAACATTCTGTGCACACATACAATAAACCATGATAATTCAGACAAGTCCATTACACATATTAGTAAGAAAACCTGGGTCTACTCATTTCAGTCATTCTGGGTCAGGGGGGTGCCTGAATCTTAGGGCTTGGACGCCATCAGGCACACAACAAAAATGTTAGGGGGCTGCGATGCAAATACCCCTCCCCCCCCTTCCCCCCCCCCTCGACCCCCGACCTTTCCCCACAACTTGTATAGTAGTTCTCAATGAAAGCTTTTGTTTATGCCTTTTTTATTATGTCAAATACAGCTTTATATGTGAGGAAATCAATATGTAAGTCAAAAATGGTTCTTCCAATTTTTATTTTATTTTACAAAAATTAAAAAAACAAACACACTTGAAAACCGTTTATTGTAACACAACTGTCCCTTTATTTTTCAATATAATTTCCACCAACATTGATGCATTTGTCCCCTTGTTTTGTCAATCCCAAATTTGTTGCATATAATTTCATACACTGTTTTCTAAACAGGACGACCAGATCGGACTTCATCAACAATCATAGAGCGTCCTTTAGAAAATTCTTTTACTCATTTATGCACCGGTTTACGAGATAAACATTTGTCAGCATGAACAGGAAACATTTCCTTTAGAATGTCTTTTTGAGGCAGCCCTTTCCCCCCCCCCCCCCCCCCCATGCTACACAGGAGTGTCAAGCATCCTTTAAAAGGGCATTGTTACATGTTAAGAAAACGTCTTTTTACTTTACATTGCATTTACATTCTTGATTAGACTGACTCTATTCCTGGTACAGGTAGCACAAGCTGTGAACACATCATTAGACAATATTTCCCCCCTTCTGATGGCGTTCGAGTAATCGCTGAACCCGGACGTTACTTTGTTACCACATCTTTCACACTGGCTGTTAAAGTGATAGCGAAAAAAGTTGTCAACGAAGCAGACATTTCAGCGAGTAAGGATAAACAATATGTGCAATCTGAATTTGTTACAACACCAAATGCGAACATATCTGGTTGGGTAATCTGTATAGGAAAATAATAAGAGTGTTAGGACATATCCTATATGTTAACCCCTATGGGAAAATAATTTGAGTGTTGGGACATATACTGTATGTTAACCCCTATGTGAAAATTATAAGAGTGTTGGGACATATACTGTATGTTAACCCCTATGGGAACATAAAAAGAGTGTTGTGACATATACTGTATGTTAACCCCTATGGGAACATAAAAAGAGTGTTGTGACATATACTGTATGTTAACCCCTATGGAAAAAAATAAGAATGTTGGGATTTATCTGGTTGGGTAATCTCTATGAGAAAGAAAAAGAGTGTTGGGCTTTGCATTGTCCGTAGAATGACTCTTACGTTTCTTCTTCGGCTTTTAGAGCCTTTGATGTTAACTACTGCAAATCTCACCCTATTCTCTTTCTCTCTTCAACCGACCTTTTCGTCCAATTGATTACTCCACATTTTTGAAGATCTGCCTGCATAAATGCGGAGAATACTAGTAAATAATTGAACTTGAATCTGGTTCATTTGAACGTCGTCTTCGGGTCACTGTCATAGCTGATGTAAGGGTAATAACTCCCGCCCAGGGAGGAATGTAGACAGTCATACCCTGCCCAGGCTATTTCTTGTAGACGTAGAGCGTTTTAATGTAAATGTTTTATGCAGGAGAGCTGGGTTGAAGAGGCATCCACAAATTTGTCACTTTCGGTATTCATTTAACCTTCAGGTTGCAGTCCCTAAGGGTTAATACACGATAACATTTGACATAAGCTCATGAATCGTATTTCACGGCGTGATACATCAAACATCTTTGTCATGAACGCAAACAAAGTAAAACTACAATGTGGCTACTCTATCCTACATAATTATGTCCAAAGGTTTTGGCATTTATCACTGACAACAGTCTTTTCTGCACCTTACAAATTCCTGTCACTGTAACAGTCACTACTTCTGTCTTCTGCATCTATGAGTGTCAATCAGTATGTTATAACTATGTTTCCCTACACTATGTTAACTAAAATGCTTGGAGGTGTAAGTAACCGACACAGACGGTGAGAGGACCAAAAAAAAAAAAAATGAATGGGTTTGACGGATTGGCCCAGAGAACTTTTTGTAGTGGAATCCGTACGAAAAATATAACTGGTGTTAGAAATGTATCACGATCGCCTATGCCAACAGCATGAGTTATGTCGAAAATTAAAAAAAAATAATTTGTGTGTGTGTAAAAGAACGTGTTGATTTGCTCTGTATGTTCCTTTAATTTTATTTTGGTATAATATCCACTCTCATAGAAGTGATAACTGACTGCCGATGATACTTATTTCCGCAGAGGGATATACACGCTGTTTTGTAATGTATTATGTTAATCATTATATGACGATGGGGAGGGGAAGATTAAACAGGCATTTGATAAACGTAAATATTGTGTCATCTCACAGCTTATATATACATATATATCACAGCCAATTAGAAATGCTAGAGCGCATGCATAATAAATCCACGCCTGCCATTCTAGAGTGTACAAAGGATATACCAACAGCGTGCATGCAGCACATGCTTGCCTTTACATCTATGTATGCAAGATGCAGGTAAACATGTTTTTTAAATGGGAGAGGAGAGCTAGCACCTTCTACACAAGGTATTGGGTGATACTATATGTCCACGATAAAGATATGTTGCTCTTGGATAGAATAGATTGACAAGAAACTGCTTGGCGAGGACGGGGCGAAAGTGTCGCCCAGCAAAGCACCCCTGAATAAAGTGGTAGTGGTTTCTGACGATGGTGTTAGGAATTGATAGCTATAGAAACAAAAGCATTCGTGCAAGTAGTGATTAATGAAAATTCACGTCCATGTGATATCATTATATACACAGGTGTATCTGTAAAGACAAAGAAAAAAATGTATGTGGTTTCATTCCAAAAAAGAACGGGAGATGTTTACGAATAAAAAGCCTTGGATTTTACGTAACTTATAGCATGATAATAGAAGTGGAAGCAGTAATAGCAGCCTTCCAATGTCTGTAAAGTTGTACAGCCCTACATTATGTAATTACATCTGACATGCAGAACACATTTCAGAAAATAGAAACTGGGGCTTTGTACTCAGAAGTGTGTGTATCGTTTGATAACACTCATATGAAAAGCATATCGTAAATGTTTTGCCCAAGATATTAGCGTGTCTTTGGTAAAAACAGGCTGTTACGTTAGATGTTGCTGCACCTCTGGATTGTAAGCTACTTTACCATTAAACGGGCGTGTGGGAGGCTTTCGGGGATTAAGTAAACAGTGCAGAAGAGCTGGCAGAGCATTTATGTCTGGAGAACGCGATTCAGATGTGAGTGAGCAGATGGTCTGAATGATTTTCTAAAACAAGTTAATAAAAAAAAAAACGGTTAACTTGTAATCAGATTACACCTGGTACTGCTGAGTATGCAAACTCATTGTTGGCTACCAAATAAAGGGCAGGAGTGCGTATTGAAATTACCTTGTGTAGAAATGTCAATTCTTGATTCAATTTTTGTTTCAATTCATTCATCCATCCGCTTATTCACACAGCGTTGATCGTGACACAGATATGAACGCTATATTGTTCCGAATATCACAGGAAATTGTTGAACGTAACATTGGTTAGACCACAACAAACAAGCGTTAACAAGTAATTATAAATTACGACGTCTTCAAAAAGACATACACTTAGTTTCTTTTAACTAGTAACTTTATTAGTGTTTATTAACATTATTTAAACTGTCTAAACAGAAGACCAGAAGGAAATACAGCACTTAGAAATGTCAGCAAGATCCTTGAATCAGATAAACAAATGCGGTTACATCGGTGAAGACAAAAATGACAGTTTGTACAACGGAGGCAACATGATAGACGACGATTCGTTATTGCACATGTACATCATAAACCAGGGGATCTATGGAATTTTTGCAAACGTCGTCATAGACAAGGCTCCAATATCGCTCCAACTGCTGCAGGTGAGTTTCTTGACTGAATGTGAGGACTACATATTTGTAAACCCGATTAAGGGCACCAGACAAGCCACCACCAACCCCACGCCACTACCCTCACCCCTCCTCCGCCCAAGAAACATTCAGTGGGACGAGGCTTCATCTCTTTTATAATTTTGTAAGTTTGAAGGGAAGAATGACAATTGGCTTTAGTAATTTTAAAGTACGCAATTACAAACAATAGCGAATAAATATAAAAATATATTTGCTATTTTACAGACACTTAAAAAAAAAGAGAACATCGTCTTAATATGGTTAGTAAAGTTTTGTAAACACGGGGGCGGAAAAGGGAGGGCCAGGGGGGGGGGGGGGCTGAGACCTGCCCTTGCCCTTAAAACATATTTAGATGAGGTAGGGGCACAAGCTGCCTTCAGAAAAGAATGTTTGTTATTGAGAGGGGCGACTAGATAGTGCTGAGCCGCTCTGCTTACGGCACCGCCCTCCACCACCCCTTGCCAGCGAATCCTCCCAAGACTGGAGTGTACATATTTATAAAACTAGTGTGTTAGTGTATTGGTTCATACTTACAAGTTAGGTCCGCAGGTTATATTTTGTTGCTTGGCTTGCTTTATAAAAAAAAAAAAAAATCGTCACGCCCAACAAGTATTCCCAAAAGGGGAACTTTAGGTTATAATTGTAATTAGGTTATGCGTGCCATATAAAAAAGCCTAGCATTGCTCGCCATCAAATAGCCTTGAAAAAGACTCCTGCAGTGTTCATGTGATCAAAGAAGACAGACCCAAATACTGTCCCGACCGGCGACGAAATTGTCTACTGGCGAGCCAATTTGAACCTAGTCGCCGTTGATTTCGTGTAGCCGTTGTGGGTGTCCCTAATATAACTTCTGTCGATGTTGAAACCCAGTTTGTCTGTCACACAGACTTAGATTTTCAGTTATTTTTAAATTTTTAATCTATGTCAATGTGATAAACTTTCAGGTAACAGCTCGGAGAGGACAAACTGATCGATCAATAAATCGATCAGTCGAACTGGTTCTTTTATCTCGTTCACTTGCAAACAACTCAGATTTGTGAGTTTTCTCCCTGTGTATTATCCCCCTCATGTCATACGTTCTTACCTTTTTTTTTTTTTTAATTTAAATTTGGCTTAGGAATGTACTGGCTTGCTTAAACTGCAGTCACTTCAACTTTATTTTTTAGAAACTCTAAACGTAATACGTTAATGATATTTTTAATGATGCATATGTTCTTTTGTGGTTGCCTGTTGTAGCAGCTTCGAATGAATGAAGTCTAACCACACCAGGTCCGCACAACTAGCGGTAAACCAAAGGTGGCACAAAGTGCCACAATTTGGATGTGAATCACCAGTACGCATGTCTCAGAAACTCCGTTTAACCGTTAGGTTTAATTTGGGCACTCAAAAACAAACTGGAGGGGGTCTTTAAAACACCGAAAAAATATGTCCCCTTAGGGACAAACACTTGACTGAGGCAGAAGTTTTGTGCACAGAGTTTAAAATGCTTTAGTACAAAAGATATTGGCTGTCACAATGTACACAAATTAGTATATACCTCATATCCTAACTAAGCGTCCCCCCCTCCCCCCATTTTTTTCCTTCTGCCTCAAAGTTATGTGCTAAGAGTGGGGGAAAACTTGAAGTGACCTAAAGCCCAAGGTTCTGACCTCCATTGGCTGCCGATTTCTACACAACCAAAACACAATACTGCCAAACAGTAAAATGCAATCCAACTATTTAAGCCCTTCAAATAGTCAACATAATAATTAGCAAAAGACAATATTTAATTGAAACCTCATTTGACCAATTAAGGTACATTTCTATTACGTTTAATGAATCGTTGAACAATAAATACATTTGTTTTCATTTGCTAAATCAAACTACGAGCAGATTGCGCTGCGTCCAATACCGTGACATTTCCCCCAATAAGTCTGTAGGAATTGTCTGAACCATCGCTTACCCTTCAGCTGAAACAAAATTTTAAAAATGTTATGAAAGGAGGCTAACACTGCCCCTCCCCCCCCCACCCCCCGCGCCCACCTAATCATGTTTAAATTTTGTCATTTTAAGATCGTGTTTGTATATTTAAAATCAAATATATATAGTAGTAGTAGTAGTAGTAATAGTAGTAGTAGTAGTAGTAGTAGTAGTAGTAGTAGTAGTAGTAGTAGTAGTAGTAGTAGTAGTAGTAGTAGTAGTAGTAGTAGTAGTAGTAGTAGTAGTAGTAGTAGTAGTAGTAGTAGTAGTAGTAGATTTTTACCCCACCAGGACATCACACAAGCAATAAACACCCGATGACACAAAGTGCCACCATGTGGATGAGGATCGCCGTGGAGAGGTCCTAAAAACCGCGTTAAGCCATTAGACCATATTTATGGTCAGGCTATTTTGCGGCCCCTGGTAAGAGTCAGAGTAGGGCTTCGAATAACGAAAAATTGCATCTCACATACAAATGAAACAAAACTACACAGAAACACAAAATCACTTAGCTGGTATATTGAAGCAGCCGGGTCGGTTGTTGACATTATTGATAATAGTAATTACTACCATTATTTTTACTGCGTATTTAACCAAAATTAAGCCCCCTTTAGCCCTAAAGTCGTCCCCTTGTGGGATGCAATTGTTTGTTATTTTGAAGCCCCACCTCGGATAGTGCCGTGGGCCCTAAATATAGACGGGTCACAAATCCTACCGAAGAAGCACTTTTCTCAAAAATGACCGTGTCTCCCAGGTTGACCCAGCCTTGAGTGGGTACCGGGTGCAGTCCCGGGAAGTAAAGGCAGCCGGCGTGATGCTAACCACACCACACATCTTGTGCCGATTGGTTTATGAATGTAGTTGTCTTCTCTTGTGCCTTCTATTACTATATAACTGTTATATGCTCTTACAAAAGGAGAAAGAAAACTCACAAGTGTCTCGTCCCAGACGCTCTAAAATCTTTGGACCCACCTGTGCCGGTTGTGACTGTTTGATGTCGGAATGTCGGCTCCCCGAGGTTCAGGTGGGCCAGTGGTTTTACTTCCGTAACATGGGCGCCTACAGTTTCAGTTTAGCAAGTGGTTTCAATGGTATTGAACTCCCGCTTGTTTTTCCAGTCTGCAGCAAACAAAATTGGTAAGTTTGTTTTCCCGCAAATATCTGTAATATCAAAAATAGTATAACTAATGAAGATGGCTCATTTCTGCTAGGATCAATGACTTTTTTAAATGTTATTTTTTCTAAAAAAAAAAAAAAATTTGCAAAAATTTTGTCACACCTCCAACGCTTCCTTTTCTTTCCCTTTTTTTTTTTTCTGGTCGCTTCGTTCATGTTTTGCAGTAACACTTTCAGCTATCCTCTGAAAAACGGGCACATATTATGGCGGCCAAAAATACACCCTGACAGGGCCTCAGTCACGTGTAAATTGCGCACTTCCGGTGACCTAAATTGCGGACTTCCGGCGACTAACGCCACCGCCGAGGGCATCTCCCTAAACTAGATGGCTGGTACTCACGAGCAGCAGCTTCTGCATCTCCTGCAGCTTTGCTTGTGAGTCCCAGCCATTTAGTTTAACCCCGATACGCTCCGTGTGTAGCTGCGCTGGAGATAACCTCAGCGGTAGCGGTTGTCGTCGGAAATCTGCAATTTATGTAGCCGGAAGTACGCAATTTACATGTGACTGAGGCCCTGTTTTTGGCTGCTTCAACATGTGCCCGTTTTTCGGAGGATAGCAACACTTTCTATCTCTATTTTTGATTATTATACACATTTTCGTTTGATTACTTTTTTCGTTTTATAATCTAACCTCGTACAGTTTTGTTTATTAATTAAAAAGAAGTCCGCATGTTCGATTTTAAATACGACGTGTCCTTTCCCATTCCTTCTTTGAGATTTCGTATTACAATTTGTGCTGTGTTATGTCATACATACTAAGGTTGCATCACATAGATGTTATTTCATCAAACTTTTCTGCCCACTATAATTGATGAATCAAGTAGCTGCCCAGACATTTCTCTTACTTCTTCAACTTTCTTGAATCCATCCACTTTAATGTTCATCAATTTCCTGAGCATGTGCTAGTGAGAAACAAATCAATGCTGCCCTTCTACTCGAAATTGCTTGTAGACTATTGGTTCAGTTTAGTAAAATATAATACCATTTACTTCCTGAGAGACTTTTCAAAAGCAGTTAGTATATCTCATGACAAACCAGGCTAAAAAATGTCAAGAACACATATTTTGCAGTGGCAACTTTTGGATGTAAATCGCAGGACATTTTACAATCACTAAATCAGATAAACAGGCTTTTGGACGCTAACTGGGAAGAAAAGTACCACTTGGTCACAGCAAACTGAAAGTCTGTGGTTTCTCAACATCTAAGAGTAGTGAGTGTGAAATACTTCTGTAATACTTAATATAGCATTGATATAGAACGTTCAGAAATGGAAGATATTTTTCCTCCTTTATATATGTTGCGATCTCTTCGGGGTGCCGGTTACAATCCCAGCTGCAGGCCATGCACCTTGCGTTGGTTTCGACAGTGGTATCAAGGCGCCGATATGCATGTGTGTGTTTGTCTGTAATACAGTTTTAAATACAAAGTAAAAGTACTACAAATACTATTTTAAAGAGTGTTTTTGATTCTTTTCCTTTGATTTCCAGGAATAAAGTACATCCAGTCGAAGAACGGACATCATTGTCAACTGCCAAGAAACGTAAATTGTAGAACGTAATAACAGAAGCTTCCAGTACATACTTTAGAGCAGACTGATTTTGTGTGCTAAATGCTGCTCAATTTAACCTTATTTTAATGCGGGACATGAACAGGAATATGATAAAATCAAAAACAAACTGCTACTAAACATGCTGGTAGTGTTTCAGTCGAAATATTTAATGTTTGAACAGCTTATTTCTATTCAACATTTTCCACCCTCTTTAATTAATTGTATAATCATGTAAAGTAAAATATGGTTTTGCCGACAGCGGCGTATGGGGCTTGTCATATCGGAAGCATATTTCGTAGACCAGTCGGCACTAGAAGATTCATATGATCCATATCTCGCCTGCCGCATTATGTCCAAGAAGATCTAATGGTTCCCATTTGATTCTGGTTCTGCTTGGGAACCATATGATAAGTATAAAACAAAAATCCATCCAGGCAAGGATTTCAACGCTACCCGCACATGGCTGCAATGTGCATCGAGCTGTTGTGGTCGTTACGGATGCCTTAATTATAACTTTCCCCGAGGCTGAACGAGGTATCTGGGCTTGTCCTGTTGCTCTGTCACCAGCATTGAGATGCTCTAATCTCACGGTGTCAAACCTTCAGCTCCGGTTGGTCTGTCACCAGCATTGAGACGCATTAGTCTTACTGTGTCAAACCTTTACGTCTGTTGGTCTGCCAGCAGAATTGAGATGCTTTAGTCTAATGGTGTCAAACCTTCAGCTCCTGTTGTTCTATAGTCAGCATTGAGGTGCATTAATCTCACGGTGTCAAACCTTCAGCTCCTCTTGGTCTATCCAGCATTGAGACGCTTTAGTCTAACGGTGTCAAACCTTTAGCTCCTGTTGGTCTATCCAGCATTGAGACGCTTTAGTCTAACGGTGTCAAACCTTCAGCTCCTGTTGGTCTATCCAGCATTGAGACGCTTTAGTCTAATGGTGTCAAACCTTCAGCTCCTGTTGGTTTGCCACCAGCACTGAGATGCTGTAGTCTCACGGTGTCAAACCTTCAGCTCCTGCTGTTCTGTAGTCAGCATTGAGGTGCTTTAGTCTCACGGTGTCAAACCTTCGGCTCATGTTGGTCTAGAGGAAGCAGAGGCAGAAGAAGAAAAAGAAGTTGAAGAAGAAGAAGAAGAAGAAGAAGAAGAAGAAGAAGAAGAAGAAGAAGAAGAAGAAGAAGAAGAAGAAGAAGAAGAAGAAGAAGAAGAAGAAGAAGAAGAAGAAGAAGAAGAAGAAGAAGAAGAAGAAGAAGAAGAAAAAGAAGAATATAAAGAAGAAGAAGAACAAGAAGAAGAAGAAGATGAAAAAGAAGAAGAAGAAGAAGAAGAAGAAGAAGAAGAAGAAGAAGAAGAAGAAGAAAAAGAAGAAGAAGAAAAGAAGAAGAAGAAGAAGAAGAAAAAGAAGAAGAAGAAGAAGAAGAAGAAGAAGAAGAAGAAGAAGAAGAAGAAGAAGAAGAAGAAGAAGAAGAAGAAGAAGAAGAAGAAGAAGAAGAAGAAGAAGAAGAAGAAGAAGAAGAAGAAGAAGAAGAAGAAGAAGAAGAAGAAGAAGAAGAAAAAGAAGAAGAAGAAGAAGAAGAAGAAGAAGAAAAAGAAGAAGAAGAAGAATAGGAATAAGAAGAAGAAGTAGAAGAAGAAGAAGAAGAAGAAGAAGAAGAAGAAGAAGAAGAAGAAGAAGAAGAAGAAGAAGAAGAAGAAGAAGAAGAAGAAGAAGAAGAAGAAGAAGAAGAAGAAGAAGAAGAAGAAGAAGAAGAAGAAGAAGAAAAAGAAGAAGAAGAAGAAGCAGAGAAAGAAGATTTGTTACACAATTATTGATATGAAATATTAAAATTTTTCCTAAGTAATAATTTTGTATGAAAAAATTTGCAATTCACATCCTGGTGTGCAGCTTATTCGTTAAAAAGGACCTTCGATTGTTCCATTTCATCGTTTCATATGTTATCCTTTTGTTATTCGATATTTAATTCAATCTCATCAACATTCGTCTTAGCATTTTTCTTGGATGCCCTAGTTCCACAGTCCATTTGTTTCCAATTTCGGTTAGTTTTGTTTCCTCTTTGTCTCAAATATGCCGAAAAAACCGCCATCCCCCCCCCCCACCCCTTTTCCTTTTCCCCCTTAAAAATGCGAGCACCTTGCAGTTGTTCAGACCTTTCTCATATTTCTTCGCATTTCCTATATTATTTAAGTTTGAAGAAATTAAAATAGAACTACGGGATGATAAATATTAACAACTATAGATATTTTTGCTGTTATCAAATTTTATGATCATGATGTTTGCATTGTTCAGGTTAATGTTTTCTGTCTGTGGCAAAGTGATTATACCAGAGGTTGCCAAAGTTGGCATAACCGGGAGAGAACAGGCGATGAGACCATCCGAGGGTGGAGGACTGTGGCGACCTTAATCAAATGGGGGAGGGTGGGGGGGGGGGGGCTGGTACGTTTCAGAGGGCGGTAGCAAGGTCAGATGCAGCTGGGAATGAAAGTCAGATAGCAAGAGAGAGAGAGAGAGAGGGAGAGAGAGAGAGAGAGAGAGAGAGAGCGATTGATATTGATTAACTGTTCTTAACTGTCTCAATGTGATATAACAAATTAAAGTTACTTTGATTGCATAATTTTCACAATAAACAAGAACATATGTTATAGACAATCAGATTTATTCTTCTCATTAAGGAGTATGGTATTCTGTAGTTTTGTATTCATATTTCCATACTTCATCACTCAGTGGAAGGATGGCCCCAGTTGAAACTTCTACAAGCAGGAGATACTTACAGTATTTTATTTTTGAATAAGAGACTTTCTGTACCAATGAACTGACAGAAAGTGAATAGATAGCATCTTCAGCTGTTCAGTTAGTAAAACATACAGGAAGTCTCTCAGAACAGAGTAAACGAGCCCAGGCTCATCGTGATTTGCATAAATGACATTAATAAATGTTGTCACTAGCAAGGCTCCTATGGTCTACCTGAACGAGAGCTATGTTGAGCCAATGCTGGTCGAGGATTTTGCTGTTTAGACAGCTGCTGAAAACACTACAACAACCTCATATCCGCTTTACAAGTCGGTGGAAAAAGTAGAGAACTGGGTAAAGCACTGGTGTCTGAACTTTCATTGACCTTTTCATCTTTCGAAACCACATTATACACTTTTTTATTTAGGGTATATAAATCACAGCCAATTAGGGGCAGGGGTGCAATGCCTTATTTCTAGAGCATCCCACCCTCCCCAACCCCTCTACCCCCCTCCCCCCCCCCGCCAAAAAAAAAACACACACAAAATACTTTATTAAAATCGTTTTTGTGTGTGTGTGTGTGGTATTTATTCCCAGTAATGAAGGCGGCAAATTAACACAATCAGTAAACATGAACACTACAGACATGCTAGCTGTCATTAAATATGAGTTGAGTTGCGGTGATTCAAGAACCGACAACACAGCACTCGGCGCATTCCTATTAGCGCTCCGTCCCTATCTTCAGCAGCCAACGAAGAGTTCCGATACTTATAGTACCAGTAGCATTCTTATTAAACGTCCATCCTGCCTTTTCTCTGAGCCTCGAGCATCTCCCACACCTCAACCCCCCCACCCCGCCCCTTCCCCGCATCAATCTCTCCAGACTGTTGTGATCCTTATGCTCCTCCGAACTGGTGTCATTAGGTATGAGAAAAATCAGTGTGATGTAGACCTGGAGTGGTTACTTGATTGACTGATTGATTGACACCTTCCAATCTCTTCAGACGATAGTGTCATATTGCGCTATGAGGAGGCATGTGACTCACAGCTCGTGGCTGCAAGTTCTCTAATGTATCAGATAGAAGTGATTAATGCTGAAACAAAACTCATGTACGTGGACAAAATGGCATTAACAGTGAAACAACAGTCATAACACACCAACTACAACACGTATAATGGGTTGAATGCAGACAGCGTCAGAAGATACAACTAAAATTTTCAACTGAAAGAACCAATTCATGAAACCTGGCCAGCTGTTTGCTTCCGACAAACAGGCAGAAAGTTATCAATAATCTAATTAATGCCTTCAGTAGGTTTTTAGGGCATTGCAAATGGACCATACTGTTAAAATACATAACAGCCAATATGGCGTCTAGGTGTGCAATAAAGTATCTCATGTCTGATATTATGATAACAGAAGTATCCAGTTCATTCTCTTACTCTGCCCCAGAGAAGTCAAGGGTTCAGTCAGCATTAGGACTTCACATTGCCATATATCAGCTTAAAATATGCTGCAATTGTGTCAAGCATACATGAACACTATGCAAAAGTATAAACAAAAAACAATAACCTTAGCCACTGCATTAAAGGAGGGGGACAGTCAATAATGTGCATGCTCTGCTCGGTACAAACTAAATAACGTACACTCAAGTGTCATGTCACAAAAACCTTCCACATGTTATAGTACCCACAAATTGGATGGCATTCTGTCTACACTGCTGGCAGCTCTAGTTCAAAGATCTTGCTGGCTGCAAGAAATGACATGTAATGGCAAAGTCAGGGTCTCGTTATGCCAGTGGTAATTACAAAAAAAAAAGATCGCCTGTGGCTGCAAAGAGCATTAAGGTCATTTCAGCACCAAGCAGCATGTTACATAGAGGACGTAGACCAGACCAGTCATGTACCAGCTTTTTAGATAACATCATTGAAGCTGCAAGACCAACAGGGATCAAACACCCTAATCAGGATATGTTACCATGATACCCGGACCAGATAAACAAGTCTTTTTCCAGATAAGGACAGTGTGAATGCAAACAAACAGACCATATCAGATTTAAAACAGTGATTTGACAAGTTACACACAGAACGCCCCTGACAAGACTCAAATATTCAGTGAGAATTAAAATCACTGTTTAAAAAAAAAACATTCTGCCGAGATTTGATCTTTAATTTAAAAACATTAAAGCAACAATTGCATGCACGTTTGACAAAATACTATAACCTACATATTAAATTCATTATGCCAGGTTTTTAACCCTCCCGCCACAGCAAACCATTGAAGGCAAAACCCTTGAATTCACAATTTCGCAAATAAATATGTTACTAATCAAATTAAAAAAAAATTAAATCATTATACATTTTAATTATTGTATAGGACAAGTGTTGCCCGTGCAGAATGATCCCTTACTGCAGCTCACAAAGGATCGTGACACTAATACGTCTGGAACAAATCATGCTTCAGAAGCTGCTTGATTAGAGAAACAATATTATGTCAGTCTGTCGGAGCTTCCCCTATATCCCCATTATCTAAAATGACAATCACTTTTTAGGCACTTTAGGTACTTGGCTCAGTTACTAGAAACTCGGTTTACAATTCTGAAATAATTAGTTCCTTACAGCTACATAGCGGCGTCCGTGGCTTGGACGTTGCGAGTCCGACTCGTAATCCAACGTACCGCGATCGAAACCCACTGCTGGCTGCGTGGATTTTTTTTCATGGTATGGGGCGTCGCAGGTCGACCCAGCCTAAAATGGGTACCTGGGAAAGTAAAGACAGCCAGCGTAATGCTAACCACATTACCTATCAAGCGCTAATGGTCTGTAAAAATATTGGCGCTCTTCCCATATCCCCGATAAGCCTAAAGGCGTAGAAAGGGATCTTTACTTTACTTAATTACAGCTACATACGGTTTGAAAGCAGGTCGCCGTTCCTTGATTTCGACAATGAAATGAAGTGTTGAGGGTTTACAGAGCAAGTGGAAACTACTGAAAGTAAAATTGCCTATAAACACGGCACACAACCAATCTGGTAATCTGGTAATCCTAGTTTCAGCATCATAGCAAACAGATCACCCCATTGTTGCTCCGCTCCTGTGCCAACGAAAAACACTCGTAGCTCACAGTGTCACACCATAAACTCAACTCAGAAGCTGGGCGACGAAACTATATCCTTCCATTCTACAAATGGGGCAAAAATGTGACGGCCACCGCCTGGCAAAAAAAAAAAAAAAAAATTTGCCATGGCTAAAAAAAAAAAAAGTGGCCGTGCCTAGTGTCTATTTTGACCTGAAGCATTATGTGAGGGTAAATAAATGGTCGCCCCAGCAGTACAATCACTATTAGATCGGCAAGGGACTTAGGACATTACATCCACCACCAGACGTCGCCCCTACAACGACCTGACTGCCTTCGTTAACGACTGTTCGGTTCACCCAACAGCCATGTAGTTCTTTGACACGAAGGAGACACCTTGAACTTGGGTTTCGGAATGCCGACTTCCTACACAATGTTATTTTGTGTTTTGTTATCACAATCGACGTCACTGCATATTGGGCATACCCATGCGTGCGCAGTCCTCCGAAGAAGCAGCCACTCAAAAGTACACAACCAATAAATGCTGGTATTGATTTACAGTTATGTAAACACTTTTGAAACCCAAGGTTGAACAAGACAAGAAAATATAAACAAGAATGATTATCCCTTAAATTGTCCAGTACTTTTGTTTTAGCCCATTCTAAAAAAGGGCATTGCGGAATCCCTGAACAAGTCTAAAATGTTAGGGGGTAAGGGTTATAGCGTTTTGGTTAGGCAGTGTTCATTTCAAACCATGACATCCCTATAATATTGGAAATCAAGAAGGCACATTAGAAAACAATGTGTCAAGAAATAACACCAGATACCCTAACTAACGAAGTGTGGGATCAGATAAAGGCTATCAAAGGAGATAAAAAGAACTATAGGATTCCCGCAATTAAATTATCCACATTAGCAGTTAATGGCACGAGAAAGCCGACGTTTCTTTTAAACGATTTTCTAAGAAGATTGGTCTAACGAGAGATTAGACGAGGCAGAGAGAGAGAGAGAGAGAGAGAGAGAGAGAGAGAGAGAGAGGGAGAGAGAGAGAGAGAGAGAGAGAGAGAGAGAGAGAGAGAGAGAGATGGAGAGAATATAATAATTAAGCTGGCTAATTGACAGATCGCACACTATAACACACTTCCTAGACTTATACGTAACATTAGGAGGTTAGAAGTTCAATAAATGAAAATATCAACACTGGAGAAAGAGCTGTAAATATAGGTACACATAGTTGGACGCAGAAAGATAGAGAATTGGTCAAGGAAATGGAGGATAGTGAATAGGAGAGAGTGAATAGGGGAGACAATCAGAGACAGGTCTTGAAATATAGATTTGAAGGAACGTAGAGAGAGAGAGAGAGAGAGAGAGAGAGAGAGAGAGAGAGAGAGAGAGAGAGAGAGAGAGAGAGAGAGAGAGAGAAAGAGAGAGAGAGAGAGAGAGAGAGAGACAGACAGATCGAAAGAGAGAGAGAGAGAGAGAGAGAGAGAGAGAGAGAGAGAGAGAGAGAGAGAGATACTGCATGTCTATATTTCTGGTAATCTGGTAATCCTAGTTTCAGCTTCATAGCAAGCGGGTCACCCCACAGATGTTCCGCTCCTGTGCCAACGAGAAACAAACGCAGCTCACAGTGTCACGCCATGCACTCAACTCAGAAGCTGGGCGACGAAACTACGTCCATATTTCTGTCTGTACCTACTCTTCTTCTTCAGTCTTCCCTGTCTAGGTGGTGGTTAGGGTATTACATTGTGGTTTACAAGTAAGCTGCGATGTCTGCTTTTCTTGAATGGTTTGCTTTACCAAAACAAAAAGATCAACCCGGAAGCTGGGCTTAAATCTGTTTACTTCTGTTTGTCTCGCTTCCTAGTTCCTTGCTGCCCTTTCATGTTACGTTTCTAAACCATGTTCGTGGATGAATGTCTTTGAAGCGGACACTGACTCACCCACACATCAGACTAAGAACACACCGTGTAGTCACAAATAAAATACATTAGGCTACTTTTGCAACATTCTATTTATTTATGTTCCATGTAAAACTGTTTTCTGTGCCCGGTCATATATACTTCACTTTGAATAATTATATCACTCTGGCATATTGTACACGGCTGAACGAGTACGTCAGGAAGTAATATCTCAACCACCCTCAAAACTTGCAGATCCTGTATGTACCAGCTAAACACCAAAATAACTCGCACACAGTACTGCACTTATATATAGTTATACTGATTGAACATTGAAGATTTTCACAATTTCTAGGATACTGGTGTGATATTGGTCTGTTCTTGCCGAGTTATAAAAGAATCGAGTCTGTACTGGCGTCTCCTCGAGAGATTTGAGGCTGGCAGTTTGATCTCGTGTGTAAGTTCAAAGTACAGTGATAAAGGGTAAGAGTTGTTAGAAAGTCATGTATGTTAAAAGTGTCAGTAGCATGAGAGTTGTCAAAATTAGAAACACTTTGTGAAGAAAATGTGCAACTGAGTGTAGCTGTCGCAAAATTTTAGGACTGGATTCAAAGTGAAGCCGCTTCTTCATTTATGTGTTTGTGTATGTGTGCGAGTATATATATATATATATATATCTATATGTGTGTGTACTAAGTCTATCAGCCTTATTTGACAGATAATGGTACAACAGCACAATGATCACGATGAATATATATATATTCAAATAAGGCTGATATACTTTTTATCTTTTCCATTTTTTCTTGTGCAATCCCTTTGATTTCATGGATTGAATCCTGTCCAAAAATCTTATCAACGTTCGCCTTTAATTCTCCGTACTTCCTTCCTGAATTCATCCCATTTTATGTTTAGCATTTTCTTAGTTGCTTTCTAGTGAATTTCACTGTCCTCATAGAGCTTTAGTAGTTCTCCAACTTTCACTGGCATATGTAGAAACTGTCATTAAATAGGTCTCAAAGTACATGATCGTCGGTTTTAACAAAAAACAACACATCATCGAAAAATCAAACACAACTGGCAGGCTAAAGTTCGACATGTATGCATACATGTATGCTTATATGTATTTTGATAGATGTAATTATGCAAATCTTTTAATGAAATATTTTAAAGATTACGTACAATGTTGGCTCTTCAAACACGCAAACTAATACTTCGCAAAACTTTCAAAGCGATCTCGAATGGGGCGAATTTCTGTTGTAAAGAACAATTTTTTTTCCTGCTCTATTTTTTTTTTTTTGTCTGTGCTCTTATCTTGAGAAGGAAAATGTATGATAAAAAGAACCATTTCTTGGGTTCCTTATCGGGTCTGAATCGCTATCAGAAACCACCCAGTTACGTTTTCTGCATATTGGCAGGCATCCCAATCTACATAATGATAGATGTCTGCAGTTATTAGTTTCTAAAGATATGCTTAGCGCTTACGGGTATTTACGTTTTTACCCTTCGAGATATAGATAATCGCACTGTGTACTTTATGAAGTGAACCATTCATTCATAAACCATTCGTCACTGCTACCTTAGCTATCTGATACAACATTACTGGAGTTATGTGATGCCTAGTATGTGTCTGCTATTGAATTTCATCGCATTTCTTCTTCTCCTTAGCGTGCACTGGCTGTAAAATCCTTCGAAAAGTTGAGGTTGTTCGTCCACACACAGACTTGGGCCTTGATCTAAAACTTGGGTTTTGCGTGCATATCTGTTTTACAGATCTGGCTTAATTGTAAGCAGCATGTTGGGTCCTTGCCTTCCAGGCAGATGGCATCTCAGTGTGAAGGCAAAATCTCTAATTAATCACCTCTTACGACATGCTTATTAGAGTGGCAGTGGGCCTATTCATTGTTCTTCAAAAAGGAGACCCGGAACCCAGATAGTCAGTATAATTTATATATTGGAGGATGCTAGAACGGACACGTATAGATTTTAATATATACTGTGTTCAAATCCTTTTGTTTCCACCATCTACAATTTATTGGAAATAATATGTACATTTTATAATCTTGCAGACGGCAGGGAAAGATATGTTGCTGACATGGTTTGTTCAAGTTCTAATACTTGGTGTAATTCTCAGTGCTGGCACATGTGGTGGGGCAGGTATGTGTAATGCATGTACCCGTTTTACGAAAGGAGGAGTGTTGTGGGTGCTATGTATGTATATATTTATGTGTGTGTGTTTGTGTGCGCAAGCGTGTTTGAGTCTGGTATTTAATTTTGTTCATACATGCATTGTAAGTCACAAAGTGTAGGTGTTCTCTATCTTGAAAAACGAAAATAGTTATCCAGTGGGATAAACTGACATCTGGAGACAGATGTCGACTGTGGACCGGGTTGATCACCACTAACGCAGTATAATACCTCTGATTACGCAAACCAATAAAGAAGTATGCCCCCAGGGCCCTTCGAAAGAGGGGGAGAATGAAATGCCCAATCAAATTGATACAAAGGGTGACAACAATGCTAGCCCCCGGACTCCGATTCTTGCCCAACGTCCGGGCTGGCTCTGTACATGTGGGAAGAGCTTCACGGGGTTGCATGGTCTGAGAACGCATGCCGGAAGGATGAAATGCCAGGGTGCTCCACGCAGTAAACGCCGTCGCAAAACTACTACTCCTGTGGTAGTTTCTGAGTCGTTAGGAAACGACGGGCAGGGTGTACCCCACTCGCCCGGAGAGGCCCATGAATTCGACTGCGGATGCGCACATTTGATGATTCCCGAGGAAGTGCGTTCCAAGATCAGGTTTTCATCTGCGAGCGATAAGGTGTCGTGGTGCAAGTTAAAAGGTACACTATGTGAGAAACTAATTCTTGATTTAAAAAAGAAGTCGTTAGGTGATGAGCTTACAAAGTTTGGTAATGTAACGTGCACAGTTACCGCGAGTTCGGGACAGCCGAAAAGGCGCCGCCGGGCGTTAAGCAAAATATAAGCAGGAGACAGGGGGACATTCTGAAATGCCGGGCAGACAAGAAAACCCTCAGAAAACGGTTCAAAGCCGCTACATGCAGCGAACGGGAGGGGCTGCATGAAGTCTGGTTGCATTTAGGAAACAGACAGTGCCTTCTGGCGCGCCGAGCGTTTCTGTAACAACAGACTGAGAACCAAAAGGGAGCGGGAGACATTCTTAAGGGACCCGTTTAAGTTTGCCCGAGGTGTATTTAAGCAACCGAAGTCTGGGACTCTGGTGGTGAGTAAAGAATAGCTCTAGTCACATTTACGCAAAATGTACTCTGACAAAAAGAGAAATAAACCTCCCGATAACAGTCTAGAGATCCTTAGCGGCCTAAAGCAGCCTGAGTTGCCGAAAGTATCATTCAAACATGAGAGAACTAAATTGCACGTTATATGGTTGGACCTCGCCAACGCCTATGGGGCAGTTCCCTATAGGCTACTGTGGCAGGCCCTTCGCATGTTTTACGTACCGACACAGATCAATAAAAAGTTCGTTATGCGCTTCTCTACCTCGACTTTCACCACGAGGTGGACTGAGCTCCAGGTTGGGATAGCCATGGGATGTACGATATCACCAATACTGTTTGTCATGGCCATGCAGATCATGTTAGACGGGGCGGCCGGCTACGGACAAGGCCCTCAGATTGGGGATCAATGGATGCCGCCACTACGCTTTTATGGATCACACGACTATAATCACGGGCAGTGAGGAATCTGCCCGCACGATTCTGGAAAGATTGGACGCGGTGGTCCAATGAAGCGGAATGAAATTCAAACCCCAGAAGTCAAGGAGTCTGTCAATACTTAAAGGTAGGGTTGCGGCAACCAATTTTACGGTGGCAAGGAATAAAATCCCCATGGTTCTAGAGGAACCTGTGAAGAGCCTTGGTCGCGTTTACGATTCGAAGTTATCTGATAGAGCGGAGTTCTGGTTAATACACGAGTCACTGGCTACAGGCCTGCTCGTGATCAAGCGAAGCAGGCTTATCGGGAAGTTGGAGGTCTGGTGTCTCCAATTTATGTTGATTTTAAAGCTCCTCTGGCCGCTGCTAGTCTACGAAGTGACAATGACTGCAGTGGAGACGATGGAGAAAAAAATCAACACAGCCATTAGAAAGTGGATTGGTGCACCGACTTGTCCGACTGACGTGGCTCTGTATTGTAAGCAGGCTAAGCTGGTACTCCCGTTCAAATCGATAACCGAAGAGTTTAAAATCGGCAAAGTAAGACTCGCCATGCTCTTGCGCGAGTCTTCAGACCCGAATGTCATCGGTGTCCAGCCTGCTCTAAAGACTGGTCAGAAGTGGAAGGTCCTGGATGCGATCAAATCTGCCCAGAATGCACTAAAATTGAAGGAAATTATGGGTTACACTCAAACCGACCGTCAAGGCCTAGGTCAAGGGAAAGTCAGTTGGTAGTCCAAAGCCACAGCCAAAGAGCGCCGAGACATGGTGATACAGCAGATTAGGGACAACGAAAACGAGGTTAGGGTCCAGAAAGCAGCCCAACAGTCGCAGCAAGGCCATTAGGTAAGCCTGGAGAGCGAATTGCCAAGAGTACACACATGGGGTGAGATCTGGCGAATGACCCCGCTGCGACTGAGCTTTATCGTTTGTTCTGCATGCTATGCTTTACCGTCTGGTGTCAACATGGTCAAGTGGAGTGCGACTAACGACCCGACATGCCCGCTGTGCAGAGCGAAACAGACGTTCGAACACGTACCGTCCGCACGCAAAAAAGCCCTAGGCCAAGGCAGATACACCTAGCGCCACAACAAGGTGCTAAAAGAGTTGGCAGCCGTTGTGGACCAGGATAGGGTGAAGGCTAATGCGAGGGCCAGTCCTACCATCGTCTCCATGAGCTGACCGTGCCGTATGAGTCGCGAATGGACGAAAGCCATGTGAATAAGCTAGAGAAATAACGTGACTTAGCAGCCGGTCTGAGGAGGGACGAAGGGTACACAGTAAGAATCTTCGCCTTTGAAGTAGGCGCAAGAGGTCTCGTTTCCACTTCACTTTTCAATGTGATTAAAGAAATAGGCTTACGAGGTAATGAACGCAAACGGACACTTAAACAGCTGGGCGAGGTTGCCGAGATAGCCTCGAGCTGGCTTTGAACACAAAGAAACAACGTCGGGGACGGGCCTCGGTGAGCTGGTGTCTAGCGGAAAAGAGTTTCTCATCCCTTAAGTGCATCGTGTCCGAATTGTCTTCCAGTGTCCCTCTGCCATCTGCTAACAAAGTCCAAGATGTGTCCGGTAAACCAATCGTAAACTTGCCGCTCGGTCGTCCAGGTATGCAGACTGCTTTAATTATGCTTTCGCACTGACTTCTTATCTCACAGTACCTTTTGCAAATCACCAATTCGTCTTGTCCATGTAAGAATAGCATTTGGTAACCGTGCAGCAGGGGAAACCATCCCTAGGCTTCTTGAACTTAGGTGGGCCCAGTCTCTGAAAATGTCTAGGAGCGTGTGGGCCGAAACAGTAGTCGACGAGAGGTTACTTCTACTAATGATTGGTAGACCCCTGCTGTAAATGCTCCCCTGTGGAGTTTCTTCTTATTATTGTCCTCTCGGTCAGAAATCTACACGTCGAATCCCTGTGTACCATCACCTCATGCATTTTGACCAGTTAACCCGCTCAGTAAGATCATGAAAGAAGCATGCCGAGAACCCGCTCGGAAAAGAGTTCACTCTTAATTGTAGTCTTCAAGTGGTCTCTACTGAGCGCTAGTTTCGCCGTCGCAAACAGCACATATGTGGCAAGTAACGCCCCTGACATTTGTGTCCACTCTAATGTGTACCCTGAACACGGTACATAGTCTTTATGGTCTACTCTGTCATATGACTGTACTGACAGAGTTCTGACATTCACTATCATACGTCTTTTTTTAAATCATCAAAAACATAATGTACATTTATTATATATTTCCAAGTTCGCTCTGCTATTTGCCGTAAAATGAATATCAGCTTTATTGTTGATCTATTTTGTTGGAAACCAAACATATCTTAAACGTATGATTTTAGCATATTTAGCTGTACCGTCAATAGTATCTTATAGCGTGTAGATAATAGGGATATTTCTCTACAGTTTTCGCATTTATACTTGTTTCATTTCTTAAAATGGGTATTAATAATGCCTATTTCCACTTATGGGGTAATTTAAGCGTCTTCTTAACTAGTTGTATTAAGCACCGATTCCATCAGCATTACCTGCTATATTGTTTTTAGCTGCGTATATCACACAGTTCTTCCTCAAAATCAGACTGTTCAATTTTTGGTTCCCACATTAGTATCTCTTAATGTCAATAAGTATTTAGTGAAGTTTCACAATTTATCAGTTTGGAAAAGTATTTCTTTTTTCTGTTCCATATTCCCTCATCCTTATTAATCGGTTCTCATTGTGCTGTGATCTTTTAAACTTTATATTCTTTGTTGATGTTTCACCACCTTCAGTTCTTTAAAACTTTCTGCACTCGATGCTTTGACGGTTAGCTTCCATATATATTTCAATACTGTTCATGTATTCTAGCTTTTGTTGCCTAGCTACTTTTATAGCTTCTTTACTTTATATTCTATATTTTCCTTGATTTCCCATCTTACTGGTATCAGTTAGCCACATCTGCATGGAGTGGTTTTGTGTGTGTGTGTGTTACTGACTGCTGCTTCACATTTTTTCCTCTATGATATTCTCAAGGAGATCATAGCAATCTTCGTTATCGTCAGTGGGTGCTTGCACACTAATCAAGATATTTGTGTGTATATATATATATATATATATATATATATATATATATATATATATATATATATATATATACAATATCTTTTTTAAATTTTCCGCAGTCTTCACATATGGACATAGACCGAATATTTATTAAGTGGTGGGCAGTTATGTGTAAAAACAATTATATACATAAATTTATGCACTATGCCTTGAGGTCTAACATAAATTTTGCATTCCATATTTCTTGGTTACAAGATCCAACATGCAGGTATACGAGCAAGTGGTTCGGAACACCGTGTCGGTTCAAATGCCACTGTGTTTACAACAACGCATGTTACAACAATGGTGTATGTTTGTCAGGGTGCGAATACGGATGGTTCGGTCCATCTTGTCAGTACGGTATGTATTGTTTAATTTCTTGTCATTTTAATTACCTTTAAACTATTGTTACTAAAGATGAATAGACACTGCCACATGAAAGAATTATCAAATGCAGGTTAGTGGAATTTCTAGTCTCCGGTATATAGGTTTGAATTGTATTTGTATGAAGCAAGTAATATAATTTAAATATCTAGGAAGTATTTTTTCGGGGGACACAAGGCTATGTGTGTTTTCTAGGTGTTCGTAAAACATCGGTTGGTATTAATTTTTTTATTTACCGTTGTGTATAAATAACTGCTCTAAAACCTGGAGCACAACTAACAAAAGATGAAGCCTCATTACAGGTTTTCGAAAACAGACTCTTACGACGAATTTTTGGACCCATCAAAGATGCAGACAGTGGTGAAATGAGAGTGAGAAGTAACAACGAAATTCATAATCTGTTTAAATCACCACTGATAACTGGCATCATGAGAGCTACTAGACTTAAATGGTTGGGGAATATTGAAAGAATGTTAGATGACAGAGAAGTAAAAACTGGATACACAAGGGAGATGAATGGTCGTAGACCACGAGGGTGACCACGAACACGATGGAGAAATAATATCTATACAGACCTGCAAACACTTGGTATTACCAACTGGAAACAGAAGGCCAACCATAGATATTAGTAGAGGCGGGTGATATCTGCAGCAATGAACCTTAAGGGCTCGAAATTCTAAAGAAGCAAAGGTATAAATAACTAATGTTTTGGACTTTTATAAAGCTGATGTGTGTGTGTGTGTTTGTAATGTCCCACCTGTCTGATGTCTGAAATACTGTTGTGTCTGATCCTCTTGTTAGTTTTGCAAGATTAAAGACTGAGTTGTAAAGACCTAACTGTGATATATATCTTACTGCCAGCCAGTCTGTATTTACATTGGTTTCTTGTATTAAATTGAAATCTGGTTTGTTGGTGTGTATCATGTGTTTAATGTGTAGTACTTTTGTCTTTAGTCCGCGTATATTGACAGTTGAAATGTGTATATCATTGTCTATTATTTTAAAATAAATAAAAAAATACCTTTTAAACTTGGTAAGGATAAAAACTGGATAAATAAGTAAAGAAAAGGATCAGTAGAAAAGTAAAAAATACATGATTATGATTGCTATGATAATAATTTATTGGGTTCGAAGGTTGATCATTTAAAGTAAAACATTCTTTGATTTAGGTTAATGCAACACCTATTGGTTACCTAAAAAGGTAATATACGTAATATTTTAATTCGTTATCCTTATTAAAAATGTGTGTGCATTTTGTATACCTTTTGTAGTGGATTTGGTGTCAACCTATTCAAAATCGTCAACGCCATCTTGGGTTTATGACTTTCCAGACAGCAACTGTAATCCAGATCAGGAGTCGGTTATCGTTTCCTTGAACAGCACATTCTATTTTACCTGGCTCAGACTGCATGCTAAGGCTGCAGGTGGGTTAGAATCTAAGCAATTGTAGGTATGCATTAATGATGGATGAAGTTAATTAAGGTGGTCTTACCATCCACTAGATTTATTACAAGTTTATCTTATAAAGTTTTAAGACCCAGGTTTTTTTCTTCTCTTCTTCCACTTACCTTATCAAGGTGTTGGAGACGATGCAATGATCTTCTGTTCTAGATGTGTTTTATAAGTTGATATTCCTTACTTTGATGATGTTGTTGCGTGCGGACGGCGACACAGACAGACAGTTTTTTTTTTAATCAGCTATCCCCACTGGTGGCAGAGAACTTATGTTTATAACCGCGTGCAATGATTCTAGTTCACATCTCCCGACATTACCTTCACATTTACAACTCAATGTGCAAGGAACACATTAACTTAACATTATCCTATCACAAAAATAAAAATAATCATCGCCGGAGCTGCGGGGTGTGTGCTCTGTGATTGATACTATCTTCAAATGGCAACGTAGAAGGTCGGAAAAGGAGAAGACGAGAAAATGGAGAGAGAAGAATGCATATACATCGGGAAGCCGGAGCCTGGAGAGTTATGCAAAAAACGGAGTGTCTGGGATTAAAGCATATTAGAGTGGATTACTGGAATTGTCCTAGTGCCAAGCAGCATGGAGCATTATTAAAGAGATGTATAGCCCAAACTGCCTTTAATGATAGGGTATCTTAGAAACTCAGTTATAAATAATAAGTCTAATATTATAAATAGTAATTATTTCCAGGATATCATTAGGGTGAAGGATATAAATTACGTATTTAAAAAAAAAAGCAAAAGATACTGTGCTGGGGCCAGACGGAGTCAGTTATGCCCACGTGAAGAGTATGGGTGATGAAAACTGGAGTGAGATGGCATTTTACTTCAACCAGAGCATCAGAACAGCCTCAGTACCACAGGACTGGGAACACAGCTACCTAATCCCACTTCCAAAACCAGGCAAAGATCATTCCAGACTCAGCTGTTTCAGGTTTATCACCCTACAAAATACTTTTGGCAAGGTGCTTGAGAAGATCTTTGCTGCCGAAAGGTTTGGGTAGTTACCAGCCACGGAGAGATACATGGTCAGATGCCGTTACTTTTGCTTTTGTTGTTTATGAGGGCTTCCTGAACTGACAGGAGACTGTTGTGGCAGCACTTGATATTGAGGAAGCCCACAATAGAGTCAAATATGATATTTTGATATCTGTACTCATGGAGAAGGGGGTTTGTCCCTGGCTTATGAAATGGATATCAGTTGCCTGCATTCACGTATGGTTGCCCTTTGCCTGGGTACATAGACCTTAGAAAAAAAGTAATATCGCCTCGGGACTACCCCAGGTTTTTGCAATTTTACCAGTGTTCTTCAATGTGTATACAAGCATGATTGCAGAAATTGAAGCACCAAGGGTTGGAAGCAGATTACATTCGCCGATGATGTTCTTGATTATGTAGGCAGAGGAGTGATAGACAACGGTTAGCCCAGGAGCTGCAGTCAGCTGTAGAAAAAGTGACTGGCTGGTCTGCAGGAATGGGAGCTGTCATCAACTCAGAAAAGGCGGCTGTTCTGTGGTGTTCACTGGACAATAGAATTATAAGAGCGAACGCTCCAAGCCTCACAGTTAATAACAGCCACGTGAGATTAAATAGCTACAGAGGTACTAAGGGTATCATTTTCGATAGAAGCCTGTCTCTCAGTGATTATGTGGAGGCTGTTGCAGTGAAATGCCAAAATATTTGTAGTGAAATGCCAAAAAAGACTCAGTGCTCTCAAGATTATGGCAGCCATGGACATGGAACAAAGAATGCTGCTCACAATGTTCCAGTAAATGATCCTGTCGGTGATAGATTATGAACTTGGAATGCTTGACTCATCAAAGAGTCAGCTAAGAAAACCTGAACACATACAGAATGAAGGCATGCGGGTAATTCTGGGATGTACAAGAGATACCCCAGTGGTATGTATGCGATATATATTTTCACTACCTACAATTGCAGATAGGCTCAAACGTGTGCAAGCAGAATCATATCTCAGAGTAGTTGCAGACAAGGAGCACCTCCTGCATGAAGCCCTGTGTAAAGCTAAGGGTCACAGACTAAAAAGAGGCTTTGGATAGAGCAGGCAGAAGACACAGTTGGACATGTGTGCAGGCTTGATAAATCTGAGCGAGGAGAGGAGTGAGTTAAGGTGTCTGAGCAAATTTCAGACTTGTGTAGGTTTCTAATCACTTTATGTAGTGAGTGTAGAGACTGGCCAGCTGGTGCTGCAAAATCAGAAGTTCAACAAATTTATGACAATTCTAGGCCATAGAAGTGTTTACCTATTCAGATGGCTCTGTATTGAGAGGCAAAGGAAGTGCATGAGGGTTTATAGTAAAAGTGAATGATCGTCGCTTAGTGCAGCAAAGACTTGCATACGATATCACAACGTACAGTTTGTGAATAGAGGTGGACGCAGTCACTGCTGCCTTCCTCAGGCTAGCAAACCTTCTGTACACACATGTCATTTAACAGACTCACAGAGCATGTTGAGAAAGTTGGACACCGGCATGTTCCGTGCAGATTGGCAAGCATCACTTCAGAGGTCCCGGGTAGTTAGAGTTCTTTAGATACTTTCTCCAGGTCAAGCCGGTATGTTGGGAAATGAGCAGGCAGATAGACTGGCCGGTTCTGCATCACTAGGGGTAAAATGATGTATGACGAGCTAGATATTATGAGTGGCCTGTAGGAGCGAGTGAGCAGTGCCGATGCACATGATCATTATGGTCTGAGAAGAATGGCGCTGCGATGTTTTACCAGGGTATCTGGAATACTCTCAACATTCACTGGAAATAGCAAGACGGATATTCAATCAGACATTTACTGGTATTATCGCAAAAGGAACTCTTCGCTTGCTGCTGAAGATAGGGACGGAGTGTTCATTAAAATGTCCAGAGTGCTGTGATGTTGTCTTATTTCAACATTCTACATTCAATACTCTATCAGAAAGACAGGCATACTTACGTAGTACCTATTAATACGCATACATGTATGTAAGTGTGTGTGCATGTATATACACAGAAACGCATTTATGTGTGTGTGTGCGCGCGGGCAGTGTTTGTGCATACTGAAGAACCGTGAAATTGTGTAGGCATTTGAAGACACCTGGCATGTGTTGAATATTTTTCCTGTTCGTATTTATATTGACACAGTCAGTTCTCAAGACTTCAACGTTCATCTGATGTTCGCTAACCAGACCGCTGTAACATGTAGCAACATGTACACACATAGGATCGACGATACAACACTGGACATTCATTGTCTACAGGGTGCATTTTTTGAGAACCTCGTTATTAGCGGGGATGGCGTCAAATATTTGTGCACAGTATACGTAAGTGGAGGTTAGTGTGTACATAGCGCATCATTAATTATGTACATGATTTATATGAATACATTTAACAACGTGTTTAGTAATATGTTAATATAATTTTTTATTACAAAATATTACCGTACAGTTATTTTTCCCCTTGGGGTTTAGGGGGAGGGGGGAGAGAGCTAGAAATAGTAGGTTAGTTATTTAGTTAGTTAGTTAGTTAGCTAGTTAAATGGGTTATCATCATTGCACTCCGGACATGTCCATAGGGGCTCAGATCCTCTCCTCAGTATGAACCCTAACGTTCCCGATTGCTAATAGTACCAGTTCTATGTTGATTAAAATGTCTTCTGGTGTGTTTGGTGTGTGTCTCGATTTTTGCTATGCCGATCTGAATTCCAAAGTCTGCCTTTCTGGCGAGTGATGTCGATTCACTGCCCCCAGGGGTTTCTATCCGTTCAATTTCTATGAGGGCATTAATAATATCAGCATGTCCCATAGGCTGACCGTCGGTAGTGATCGCGGATCTAGCCAACCTATCAGCTCTTTGATTTCCATCGACGCCTGCATGTCCTGGGACAAAAATAAAGGTGACTACTCGCACAGTAGACTTCTGTAATGATTAAAGCCATTGTCTTCGCACCCAACCTGCCTTAACCCTCATACACTGAATATACATACGCGGGTGTAGTTTTGTGTTTCGAGCCAGGCGAACGCCTGCGTTACTGCCATCAACTCCATCGTCATGCTGCTGGTTGTCATGGAGAAGGCGCTGTTGGCTTCTTTGACTGCTCTGCCCTCTGAGCGTGCTGTGAATGCCCATGCACTTATGTTTTTTTTTTCGTATTAACGGATCTGTCTGTGTAGATTAGGGCATGTGCTTCGTCTGAATTTCCACTAATGTGAGTGTTGACCTCTGCATTAACAGCAACAGGATTCTCTTCTCTACATCGCCTGTTAAGTGTGGCAATACAGGAAAATGTACAAATAAACGCATGAGGCACAGCTATCCACTCTGCACCAGGGTAGATGTCAGTTAAGTTGCATATTTACCAAATAACATCTTCTGTCCGACCTAGCCATGATTTTCCCCTTTTCAGCCTGTCGCCCTTTTAACTGAAAAGCGCTTGATGCAGGAGGTGTTTCTTATCAGCACATATAGAATATCAGCACAGTGCACAGTACACTGTGTAACGCGAGTCGTTGATTTATTTTCACACCAATATAGGACGCAATTGATTTAAAACATGCACCCCATATGTCGCTGGCAGTAATAAAAAAAAAAAACTTTTCTGAACGGGTTTTCCGTGACTTGCATTTGAGCGGTTCTCACTCGAATTGTGGCACATTGTGTCACCGGGGTTTATCGCTCGTTGCGCTGTCCTTATGAGGTTAAACGTCAGTCAGTCCTGTGCAATAAACAAGAATATAAACGTTTGTACGAAATGGGAATCAGAAAAATAAGTGACTCAGTATTAATGCTTTTTATATTTCTTCTTCTTCTTCATCTTCTTCTTCTTCTTCTTCTTCTTCTTCTTCTTCTTCTTCTTCTTCTTCTTCTTCTTCTTCTTCTTCTTCTTCTTCTTCTTCTTCTTCTTCTTCTCCTCCTCCTCCTCTTTCTTTTTCTTTGATCGCGAAAAGTCCTTGTGCAAA